AAATTAAAATTTTTATTTTTATGTAAATTAATAATATAAAATGTAATAAATGTATTCTTAAAAAACCCTTATTTAACTCTAATCAATGCTTTTAAGTACATCTCATATAAATGATAATTAAATTTATAATTAAACACAACTACTAAAGATTTAATAATATAAAAAAATATTAGTGGTTAGAATGCGTGGAAAAGGTCAAATATGGGAGTACCATAAGCAATAAATAACCTAATTATTTTTGTACCGTATACATCAAATATCTTGATTTATATCAAAATTTAAATTTATATTGAAATAATTGTAATATTTTTTCCTTTCCTCAAAATCCCGCATGGTTCAAATTAAAAAAAAAAAAAAAATTAATTTATATCTTTGTATTTTTCTCACTATAATTTTGTTGAGATATATCTCGCTAGCTTTCCCGCATTCTCATAAGGAAATTTTTTTGGATACTAGCCCTTGAGGCAAACTAAAATCCTAAATCTACTTTACAACATGGCATTAATTTACTTACCAGCAATTCCAGATCTTGATCAAGAAAATGATAAGAATGCTAAAAGAATAAGAAAATGGTCAGGAAACTGAACCTCGATCTGGTCACCAATGTGAATGATGAGTGCACCGGGGATGTATTTGGCATCAAACCAATGGTCGTCCTTAAAAACTTGGAGGCCAGGGACCTCGTTAGGAATAAGAATAGTCATGGTAGAAAGATCAGTGTGGGCCACAACCCCAAGTGTGAGATCAGGACGAGGGCACGGTGGATAATAATTTATTTTAAGCATATACCCAATGTTCTCCCCGCCGGCCGCCTCCTTCAGCACATGCCCTTCAAGCCCTAACCCTAAGGATAGGCACTCAAACAGCTTGTTCCCCACCCCTCTCATGTACTTTGCATATTCCTCGTTCACCTCCCTGTAAAAAGAAAAAAATGTTTTTTTTTTGCACAGAAAAAGAAAAAAATGTTAACTCATTTATTCTAACATAACATAAATTGTCAACTGATGAACGGATCTTAAAACTGTTTCGTCTTAAAAAGAAATTAATGGCTTGCTTCTATGTATTTTTTCCCAACCCACATAATTACTGTTCAAAAGGAAAATGGAGAATGAAAACTCATAATTAATTAAGACATGAAGAAAACCTATAAGAAGGTGGAGTTTTTGGCCAGAACTGGTAGTTGATACGGGAAGGCGGCCAGATTACGTGGAAAAGATGATCAACCCATGACTTCTTTCCTTCAAGATCCCTCTGTAGTTTGGTCCCGTACCCTTCGATGCTCTGTGCACCATCAGGTCTGGCATACACTAGCTTCTCTTCCTGAGGAAGTTCAAAGAACTCTTTTCCAGCGGCTTTCAGTTTCCTTATAATGTCCTCCGGGATTCCATGGTTCACAACCTGGAAAATGCCCCACTCTTGGCTAGCATTGGCAATGGAACGGACAAGGTTCTCATGATCCGAGTCAACCAGATCGATTACTGGGATTTCAGGGACGGGTCCATGGAACGTAGTGATGGCAGGCTGTTCTTTCTCGGAACGGATGAACTCGATCGGAATGGTGTCTTTCTGTTGAGATAAGGACGCAATGGTTTGGACTGTTTGTACCTCCATTTTTGCTAAGCTTATTCGATGCAACATGTTGTGTGCATGACACCATTTATACGAGGTTGCGGTTTGGTGACAACAAAACGGAGAGAAACACCGTTTCACAAGAAGGAGGATTGAATCGACGTGGCGTTTCGACATTCACTCGTTAGAAAACCAACCACACCAGGACAAAAACAAAAATCTTGGAAATCGACCACGCGTTTTCTTTTTTTTTTGGTAGGGGAAACCAGCCACGCATGCTACATGTTTTCACCACAATCTTCACAAACAACACCCAAGTTTTTTTTTTTTTTTTTGGTAGGGAAAACCAACCACGCATGCTACATGTCTTCACCACAATCTTCACAAACAACACCCAAGTTTTGAAGTAGGTAGAGATCAATTAAAGTTGAGAGGGTGTGGGGGGCATCGGAACATGGCCAGAACCACCTTAGTTTTGTTTTTGAACGAAATTTATATTGATAACTTGAGTAAAAAGGGTACTCAAACCCATTTCCAAGAACAATTTACAGTCCCTTCAGTGTTACTACCCTCTTTCACACATATCCTATTATGCTTTATCAAGGCAAGAAGCAAGGTTAATTAACCAGTTTGATAGATTGAAGTAACATTTGGGTTTCCTAGCTTTGATCCAAGCAAAAGACTTTAATTGAATAAGTTCAAAAAGCTTAATCAAGTTGATCTCTGCATTGTCAAAAATCTTTTTGTTGCGCGCCATCCACACAGTCCATAACATTGCATTCCATGGCCAGAACCACCTTAGTCACCCGTTGGTGAGGTGAATGAAAATGTTATTCTTATTGTTGTTGTTATTGATGTTATTTTATTTTTAATTTTTTAAGTTATTTTTAATTTTTTATGTCACTAATTCGTTGTAGCTGCTTTTTCTTTTTTTCGTTTTTCTTGATTAAGAGTGATAAATGTTTATTTATGATTTTTTTAATGAAAAATTTTATTAAATAAGTACAAAAAATACTAAAATTCATATATAAAATTTAAAAATTAATAATTACTCAATTTAATTATTAATTTTTAATCAAGTTCCAACTACCCATTGTAAAGCAGTTCATTTGCTAACACATGCCATTGGAGTAATGATTCAGTCTAAAAAAAACAAAAGAAACCTTTCCTTTCCTCTGCTTTTTACCCACTAACATGTCTTGTACAGAGTCAACCATTTTGCCAACATTTACCGTGCCACCATTAAACTCCTTTTGATTTCTAGCAGTCCAAATAGTCCATGCCACTTCAAACCATATAGGTTTCCAGCCTATCTGTATTTTCCCATAAAGCATGCATGAATCTCTCGCGTTGCTCAAAGCTTCCCGCACATTGCTTGCTGCTGCAGTGTACACATCCCACCATTTATAGCAGTTTGACCAAACTTGGGATGCTATTTCACAGTGCAAAAGTAGATGGTTGCTGTCCACAATATTTTCCTCACATAGGGTGCACATCGCCTCAATTGAGTCCTTGGTTATCCCTCTTTTAAGTAAATTGGACTTGGTTGGCAACCAGTCCAAAATTAATTGCCAAACAAATCCATAGACTTTAGGGATGGTTTTATTTCATACTCTTTCAAACAGTTTCCTGTGAGGGGAGTTTGCATTAACGACCAATCTTGAGCAGCCGGAGCATGGCGAATACCTTCCGTTGGTACTGAACTTCCACAACCAAGTGTCCTTTTCTCTATCTCAACGTCATTTGTTCTAATATGTCGTCATGTGTCTGTAGCTTTTTTTTGAAATGCAAAGAGAAATCTATTATGTGTTGCGGGTACCAGGAGTACACCAGACCAACACCAAATTGAGTAAGTTACAAATTGAACGACAAAATACAATCAATCATGGGGGGATGGAAGTGCCTTTGGCTGTATGTGGGACTTTACTTGTTGCTTGCTATTCCGTTACCTATCCTTTTGTTGCTGCAAATGTTGGTCAAACAATCAACTGGATTATGGAGCCAATCTGATAGGGAGAAGACGCAACCTCCTTTTCTACTTTTTAGCCACCTAAATGTCCTAATTTGTACCAGCTCCAAGAGCCTCCTTTTGTCTCGTTCCTTCTCTCGAAAGATCTTCTCATTTCTAGCAAGCCATATTGTCCAAACAATACCAAACCAAATGCATTCCCATCCCTCCTTCCATTTTGCCCTTCTTAATGGATTTGGGTGCTGCTGAAACACCTTCAAGCAGTCTTTATCAAGCACATGTATAAGACCCCACCATTTGAAACAATCATTCCAAAAATGCCAAGCAAAATTACAGTGAATAAAGAGGTGGCTAGTATTCTCTGCTTCCTTACCACATAAAGCACATTTGCAATCTTCAAGAGCTTGAATAATACCTCTTTTATGCAGATTAAGCTTTGTGGGGATTTTGTCCTGCAATAATTGCCATGAGAAAGTCGAGATTTTGTTGGGGATCAGCTTGTTCCATACATTCTGGAGTTCCATTCCATGCTGATCCGATCTAGTCTCCCTTGTGAGTATTTGATATGCTGAATTTGTGGACTAGGTTCCATCTTTGCTGTGAGCCCATTCCCAAAGGTCTGGTTTGCCTCTTACGAGTCTTGTGTCTTGTATGTCCTTTTGTAGATCTCCTGCTTGTTGAGTTTCCCAGCTGAAGAGGTTTCATCTCCATTGAAGGTTCCATTCCCATTTACCATTAAGCCATTCTCCCATTTGAGGAATTTTGTTATCCTTCCCTGTAGATAGAGAGTAAAGTCTAAGATATTTGTTAGCAAGGCACCCTTCCCCTCTCCAGTTATCCCACCAGAAATTAGTACTAACCCCTTCACCTACTTTTAATTTAAAACCATTAGCTACCCATCCCCTATTTTCCCCTGCTATTGTATTTATACTACAGATGTCCCTCCACCATTTTGTTCCACTGTTGCTCTCCTCTCTCAGCCAGTAATAGCTAGGTTCCCCCACCATTTTGTCATGTGTCTGTAGTGAATCTTGTTCCCATGAATATCCCATGAATATAGCTCACGACTCCATTGTAAATTCCACTTCCATGCCCCATTGTCCCAAATTCCCATCTAGTTCACCATATTGTCTTTACATGCAGAGCTTAAATACAACTTTGGAAATTTTATAGCTAACTCCCCTGACTCCATCCACTTATCCCTCCAAAAGTTTACGCTACTACCCTCACCTAATGATATTTCAAGACCTTCTGAAACCCAACCACACTTTCCTAATTCTAGCACATCTATTCGACAAAAGTCTTGCCACCAACAGGAACCTTTCCCCTTGCTTTCTCTAATCCAGTTGGTCCAATTTTCACTCCCACCTCCATATTTTTCTCTAATGATTTTGAACCACAATCCCTCCTTGCCCTTTGCTAATCTTCCCCACCATTTGCCCATTTGCCTAATAACGATGAATTAAACAATCTAAAGTCTTTGATCCCCAGTCCCTCATCTCTTTTACCCTGACATACCTGCTTCCAACTTACCCAATGAACTTTTTCTTCTCCTCACATCCCCAAATCGGGGATCCCTTCTAAGTTTATCTATTACCTTTACTATACCTCTTGGAACTAGGTAGATGGACATAATTAAGGAACACTCGGAGAAAGGAGAGCATAGAATTGAGCAGCATGAGCCTTCCACCAAATGACAGCCAACCTCCCTTCCAACTAGTAAGTTTTTTCTTGAACAGGCCAACCAGTGGTTGCTACATAGCCAATTTTCTTTGATTTCCCCTAATCATCACCCCAAGGTATTTAAACGACAAATCACGAATCTTGCAATACAGCAAGCAGACCATTTTTTTTTGTAACCAATCATCATTCACATGTACATCAATTAGCTAGCTTTTCATAAAATTAATTTTAAGGCCTAAAACCAGTTCAAATATCCTCATAATGCACTTGGCTGCCCACACAGTTTTTGTCATAGCTTTCCCAAACAAAATGGCATCATCTGCAAACTAAATATGGGATTTTGATAAATTTGTACTCGCTTTATTTCTTACCTTTTTTTAGTTACTAAAAAACTTATTAAATTCTATAAAACACAATTATTATAAATGTAAGTTTTAAATTTATCTTTACCCCACATTTGGCTAAGGAGAATGGAGGGGAGAGAAGAGGAGGAGAATTTATATCTTTCTTTTTATTTGGATAAATAATTAAATTAAAAAAAATAAAGTAAAAGAAAAATTTTTCATTTTATCCCCTCTAATTTTTTTTGGATAATCAAATAAAGAATTTTCTTTTTCCTCCCTTCACCTCCTTTCCCTCCATTCCCCTTGACTTAAACATACTATCAGTGAGACTCAATTAATTAGAAGGATGGCTGTCATCATTGAGTTTTGCTGGAGAAGTTATTATGAAATTGCAAAAGGGATAGAGTTGGAAAGAGAGCTTTTAATTCTATACTTAAAAATAAAAATTGATAGTTAAATTGGGAAACTCCATTTTAAAAAGTTGATAAATAAAAGAGGACGAAGGAAGCAATCAACAATTTGTTTAAGACAAAATTTAACACTGAAATATAAATTTAGACTCCATTTAATATGGTTGTGGTTTTGAATTTTTGGTTTTAATTTTTAAAATTTAAATAATCAAAATTAAAAATTAAAATTACTAACTTATTAGATATAAAATTTTTTAAAAAATCCCAAAACTCTAAATTTAATTAATTTATAAAAAATTCTTAATTTTAATCTAAGATTTCTAAATTTTTAAAAACTAAAACAGAAAACCCGACACGGGTGTGATGTCGACCCATAATTTTGGTGTCGACACCTTACGGCAAGCATCTAGAATCGCAATTTCTGTTTCTTTTTCTGCGTCGACAAAGTGCAGGTTAAAGTTTTTTAACAACTTGGAAGTGCTCGTGAATTAATATATCAGAAAGGGTTGCTCTTATAATTTTATGCCTTTCAAGTTAAAATATTTATGGGTTTGGGTATTTCTTATACTCTGTTTTTAATAAATATTATTTTTTATTGTTCAAAAAAAAAAAATGGAGCCTTAGTCGACAGCATTAAAATATTTTTTGTTCATTTTTTTTCCTCTACTAATCATAATGACATTGATGAAAATATACATGTAACTAAACAAATTTCTTATTTTAAGTTATAAAATTTGTAAAAATCAATGCTTAAAATTTAAAATCACAATTGTACTAAATATAATCTAAAATATTAATTATATATATTAATTAGAATGTGGTACTTTCACTTATAATTTTTTAATTTAAAAATTTGAAGAAAACTATGATTGAAACTAATTTTTTAAAAAATCATTCTTCTTGTTGACCTCTCACTTATGCAAGAAAGAAAGAATGAAAAAGGTATCCCATAAAAAAAATTAATGAAAAAAAGGCATGTTTACGCTCGTGCATTGGCTAAACTTTGAGAAACTTGAGTTGCAAATATGGAATTTCTTGAATAGAGCTTTCAATATTCATTCATGAAGTGTGAGTCAATATAAATTATTAGCTACAACTAACAACATAAATTTAAGTCTTTGAGAGAATATATATCTTGATTTGAAGAGTTTTTAGGCGTAAGTTTTGGTTTGGATCATTTTAGTTGATATTAAAGAGATCATCTCAACTAAGTGTAAGCCCATCACTACAAGAAAACAAAGTTTTTGTGACTAAAAATAATGACTAATTTCTAATTTGTTACTAATATCCTTTATATATGTAACTAATTTAAGTTATTAGTCTCTGCTACTAATTTTCAAATTTCAAATATATAAAACTTACATTTAGTCATAAAAAATTCATCACAATAAATAACATAAATTTGTTACAATCAAAATCATCACGGTAAATTAACTATTAGTTACTAATAAAATATTTGTTACAAATGATTAATTTTTGTTACATATACCAAATTTTTTCATTCCTGACAATTATATTTTGTGATGATATATACAATTTATCACAAAAGAAAATCACAATAAATAAAATTTTTTGTCACAATTAGGTTATAGTTGAACTTGAAAAAAAAAAAATTTGTGATAGTAATAACAATCACACATTAGTGAAAATTTTTTTATTAAAATATAAAATTTCAACTAAATTAATTCAGAAAAATGTGCACCATCTACATTTTTATTCTCATATAACCTTTTTATTCCTCTAATACCATAAAAACCATAGTGAATCAAGGTGCTCCTATTTTTATTAAATATCTTAGTTATTATCTTTTTTTTTTTTTTTTTGAAAAGCAAAGATAATTCCCATTATAGGAGTACTGGGTGTACTCCAAACCATTTACAGGGGAATATGTGCTTACTCAACACTAATTCCTCCAAAACACATATGACCCTAGAGATAAACAAGCGTCCCTTCTTACGGAATCCATTGCTTACCTAGGTTTTGCCCCCTTATTTAGCCTTTTTCTAGCTGCAGCGTCTCTAAGGCAAGATACCGGGTCCTGGATCCAGGACCATGAAAAAAGACAGCTTTTCTCCCTACATTTTATCTAGCTGAAGGACCTTAGCTGAACTAATTCTAGCAGCCTGCACTTGTCAGCTTCTTCTCCTTTAAATATGCTGTCATTCCTTGCCAGCCACACTGTCCACACCACCACTAACCATATGCACCTCGATCCCTCTTTTATTTTTGCCCCTTTGAGAGCCGAAGAATGCTATTACAATACCTTGCTCCCTTCTCTGTCCAATGCAGTTCTAATTCCCCACCACATGAAGCAAGCATTCCACAGATCATATGCCACTTTGCATTGCGTGAATATATGGCTGGTTTCCTCCATTTGATACCCGCAAAATTCGCATTTGCACTCCTCCATGTTTTGAATTATACCTTTTTTGAACAAATTTGCCTTCGTGGGGATTTTATCTTGGAGAAGTTGCCATGAAAATGCTGAAACCTTACTTGGCACCATTGCGATCAATACTTTTTGAAGGTTCACTCCTAGCTGTTCCCGCTGGATCTCTATTGTAAGTGCCTTGTAAGCAGATTTTGTTGTGTATACCTCATTGTTGCTATGAACCCACTCCCATACATCAGTTTTTCCTTTCATGATTGTTGTTTCCTAGATTTCCTTCAAGATTTTTGCTTCTTCGTGAACTTCCCAGCTATATAACCTTCTCCTCCACTGCAAATTCCATATCCAACTGCCATTGAACCACCGTCCCATCTGTGAAACCAAATTGTCTTTACCTGCAGAAATTAAGTACAATCTTGGGTATTTGTTAGCCAATAATCCTCTCCCACTCCAATCATCCCACCAGAATTTCACACTACCCCATTCTCCTATTTTAATATTCAACCCCTTTGCTAACCAACCCTCATTCTCCTGATCTATGACATTCAGCCTACAAATATCCCTCCACCATCTTGACCCAAAACCATTACCATCCCTCAACCAATTATATCTTGGTTCCCCATCCCTACCATATTTCTGCAATAAAACTTTCTTCCATAGTCCTTCCTCTTCGTTAACCAATCTCCCCCACCACTTCCCTAGCAAAGCTAGATTAAACTTCCTTCTTTTTTTTTTTGAAAAGCCAAATAATATTTATAATAAGAAACTGAGTACAAGGGGTACTCAAACCCATTTACAAACACGCAAAAAACCAGCCAATCAAGTTACCCCCATCTTTCAAACCTATCTTACTCCAATTTACTCAATTCCCCCCACAATTAGTTGTAAGGCATGAAATTGGATCTTGCAACCAGTCTGAAAGATTGAAGTAACACCTAGCTTTTTTTGCCTTAATCCATACAAAAGATCTCAATTGAATAAGTTCAAATATCTTACCCCTACTTGCCTCCGAATTTTGGAAGATCTTTTGATTTCATGCGAGCCACACGGACCATACCATTGTGTTCCAAATGCAGTCCAATCCTTCTCTAATGCTTTGATGTTTAGTCCATGTCCCGAAATTTTCAAAGGTTTTCCTACAGTCCTTGTCTAACTTGATGGTAATCCCCCACCAATTAGCACAAGCCATCCATAACCACCTAGCTACATTGCAATTCAAAAACAAGTGATTAATGTCCTCATCCTCAACCTCACACAATGTGCATTTCCCATCTCCTGTGTCCTTGATGACTCCTCTCTTTACCAAATTCAGCGTGGTTGGAATTCTATCCATCATTACTTTCCAATTAAACGCAGCAATTTTACTTGGGAGAATAGGGTTCCATACCCTCTTGAAGAATTTTGTTTCAACCATTCCCCTTTCCTCTTTTGTTAACATCACGTACGCAATTGAGGTTGAGTATAGGCCATCCTTGCTATACTTCCATTCCCATTCATTTGGACATCCTGGGTAGAGCTTCACCTCCTCTATCATCTTGCAGAGCTCATTTGCCTCCTCTTCCTCCCATTGAAATAGGCTTCTTTTCCATGATAAGTCCCATTTCCATGTGCCACATTGAGTGTTACCCATTTGATAGCATTCCCTCTCTTTACCTGTTGACAATAAATACAATCTAGGGAACTTATTAGCAAGGCAACCCTCCCCGCACCACTCATCCCACCAGAAACTCACCCTTTTCCCCTCACCTACCTTAATCCTAAACCCCTCTAACAACCACCCTACATTCATCCTGTCTCCCCTATTAAGGGCATGAACATCTCTCCACCATATCGAGCCTATCCTTCTCCCATCTCTCACCCAATCAAGCCAATGTCCTCCTCCCTCCCCATATTTCCCAACAATAACTTTCTTCCATAAGCCTTCTCCTTTTGTCGCTAATCTCCCCCACCATTTTCCCATCAACGCCAAGTTAAATTTTCTCAAATCCCTCACTCCCAGCCCTCCTTGTTCTTTTTGCTTACACACCCTCTCTCAGCTAACCCAATTAATTTTTTTCTCTCCTCCCTCCCTTCCCCATAAGAAACTTTTGCGAATTTTATCAATAGATTTGAGGATACCTTTTGGAATGAGGTAGACTGACATCAAGAACACAGGCAAGCTAGACAACACAGAGTTAATGAGCGTGACCCAACCTGCGAAAGAAAGATGCCGTCCTTTCCAGCAAGCTAATTTCCTTTTAAAAGAATCCACCAATGGCTGCCACATTGCTAATTTTCTATGATTCCCACCAATTGGAATTCCTAGGTATTTCATAGGGAACTCTCCCACCTTGCAACACAGCTTATACGCCATTTTCTCAATCCATCCTTCCTCTATTTCAACCCCCACTATCTGACTCTTCCCATAATTAATTTTCAAACCCGAGGCCAGCTCAAACATCCTCATGATACATTTGATCACCCCTATATTGTCTTCTGATGCCTCCCCAAAAAAAATTGCATCGTCCGCAAATTGTAAATGGGTGATCGTCACCTCACCGCCGCCAATCGGCACCCCCTTATACAGTTCCTTCTCAATTGTGGATGACACTAAGCCATTTGGCCCTTTCGCGACAATCAGAAATAAAAAAGGGGATAACGGATCACCTTGTCTTAATCCTTTGCTGACAGGGAATTGCTTTGTTGGGCTTCCATTGATAAGGATTGAAATCATGCTTGATCAGAGACACTCTTGTATCCATTTCCTCCATGTATCTTGAATCCCATCCTCCACATCATGTAGTCTAGGAATTCCTAGCTTACTTTATCGTACGCCTTTTCAAAGTCAATTTTGAACACATAGCTTTTCCTTTTCTTTCTCCTTGCCTATTCAATCACCTCACTTGCAATTATTGCACCATCCACAAGTTGTCTTCCACGTATGAACGCCATTTGCTGCTCCCCAATAATTCTGTCCAGCACTTTCCGAAGTCGGTTTGCTAATAACTTCACGATGATCTTATACATGCTCCCAATAAGTGAGATGAGTCTGTATTCTTCTATTCGCTGTGGGTTTTCCACCTTTGGGATTAGAACAATGAAAGAAGGGTTTGACCCTTTTACGAGCCTTCCTTGCTCATGGAATTCTTGAATGCACCCCACAACATCATCTTTAATATCCTCCCACATATCTTTAATGAATCTGAAGTTAAAACTGTCCGACCTAGGTGACTTCGTAGAATCACAATCCCACACTGCATTTCTAATTTCCTCTTCAGTGAAAGGTGCCTTGAGGAGCTCATTCTCTATCTGGGATATCTGTTTGAAATTAATGCCGTCAAGCTTTGGTCTGTTCCATTTTTCTTCTGTGAACAACTTCTCGAAGTACTTTGCCACCTCTTCCCTTATCTGAGCCACCCCCATATGCTGTTCACCATCAATTTGGATACAATTCATTTCATTTCTCCTCCAACATCCTTTCACACTACTATGGAAGAATGTTGTGTTTGCATCCTTTTCCTTTAGCCACATCTTTCTTGACTTTTGTTACCACATTCTCTCCTTTATTTTTAAATTCCTCCAAAGGTCAAGAAAACTGTTTCTCCTCTTTACACTATCCTTTGCCGAGAGTTGTGCCTCTTCTCCTCTCTTGTCGATTGCTGCTATCTCTCTTTCTGCCTCATTTATTTTACAATCTACCTCTTCCATAGCTCTACCACTCCACTCTTTCAATGCTTGCTTGGTTCTTTTTAGTTTTTCTTTGAGAACGAAGCCCTTCCATCCATTAATCATTGTTGATCTCCACACTTTACTGATCATTTCCTTGCAACCTGGTTGTTCCAGCCATGCATCAAAGAATCTAAATGGTTTTGGTCCCCAATCTGTCCTCACATTCTTCAGCATGACAGGGCAATGATCTGACACTATTCTTCTCAATCCCCATTGCTTTACATCACTCCACTTCATAAGCCATTCTTCTAACAACAAATATCTATCAATTCTGCTCATGCTTTGGCCATTAGGGTTGTACCAAGTGTATTTTCTACCCAATAGTGGTAAATCAACTAATCCCGCATCATGAATGAAACAGTTAAACTCACTCATTTCCCTCGATACCTCCTTGCATCCTGCCCGTTCCTCTACACTTCTTACAGCATTAAGGTCACCTCCTATACACCATTTGCCTTTTTTGCTCCTAATTAGATTCAATACCTCCTCCCATAAGGCTCTCTTACCCGTCAGCTGACATGGGGAATAGACATTCAAAATATTTACAGGCGTCAGATCCTCCCCCTATAACCCACTCACCCCAATATAATTGCTCCCCATTAAATCCTCTTTTTTCTTGAACACCTTAGAATTCCATACACATACAAGGCCTCCGGACATCCCTTCTGAAGGTTTGAATACCCAATCAAAATCATCATAACCCCATAACTTTCTATAGATACCTCTATCAATTACCACCATTTTAGTCTCCTGAACCAATAGAAAGTCCACGTTCTCCTTTCTAACTAAATATCTAATTTGTCTTTTTTTTCCAATCCCTCCAAGGCCTCTAATATTAAATGACAATAATATCATCAAGAGATCTGCTTACCTTCTTTGCATCATCGGCTCCCTGCCTTCCCAATTCTGTCTTTGTTTTCCTGTCTATGCTCTCCATTTTCTCAATCCTCTGCACGATATCTTCTTCATTCTCTACTGTAGCTCCAAGCTGCTTTGCTAAATCCCAAATTTCCTTAGCAAACTGGTTGCTCATTTTCTTCCTCCATGCTCGATTGCAATTCTGAATTCCGCTGTCGGCAATGGATTCACTTGCAATTTCTTCATTTGGGCTTGCTACAAATTCTGGATCTGCCCTCCCTTCCCCTTGTTGATTGTCAGTCCTTCTCCTTCCTTTCTTTTTTCCAACAACTTCCAATTTTGAGTAAACCGAACTACATAACCTTATTTTCTTCTTCCTCATCTTTGCAGCTCACATCGGTCCCCCATTCCTCCAGATCTGCGCTCCCTCTTGACTTTTTTCGTGAGACTTTTGTGGAAGATCTTCTTCTTCACTTTCCTTCGTTTCTTCTACATGCTCACGTTCCCTGTTTGTTTCCGTCTCCGATACTAGTTTTTCCTTCCTTTCTGCCACATGTTCTCTGTTTTTGCACCACTCTTTCACACTATCTTCACTTTCTTCCACTTCTGCCACCTATCCATTGCTTCTAGACGCCTCCACTTCTTTTTCTGCACATTTTCCCGATTCTGCCAATTGCTTCCTGCTGTTGGGCTTCCCTTTTATACTTTCTGCGCTTGGGTTTGGCCCTTTACATTTCTCTTGGGCCAAACCCAAGTGATATGAAGCTGCATAGCTTGGGCTGCCCTCATGCGAGTTCGGCCTCCCCATTTGCTTCATCCCATGCCTTTCCAGTGAGCCCGCATTCTTTCCATCATATTTACTTGCAACCGTATCCATCTTCCCTATCTGCCACGCCACCCCTTTGTCTCCTGCACTGTTCACTCTCTCATCCTCTTTTTGAATTTGAATTGAGGTTACTGACATTGCTTCTGCAGCTTTTGTCCCTTCTTCCAATGCTTGTGGGTCAAAGTTTCCGTTGGACTCCACACTATTGTTTGCCACCACATCATCTTCAACCTCTAGCCCGTCATTGTCTTCTTTTTCCTGCTCTGTTTCTGCGGCTTCTTCGGAATCAAAGCCCTCATTTCCAGCATCAACTGACCATGATTCATGATCCTTTGAATCACTCTGAAAGGTGGGCATGAAATCTTGTTTCAAGGAGAAGAAGTTAGTAGAACATTCCTCCTCCGTGAATTTCAGATTGTACAGAGACCCATTGATTTTAATTTGACGCATAACTGAAATATTGTCCATAATCTGAGTTGAGATCAAGAGTCTCGCAATGTCAAACCTTTTTCTTTTACTTGTGCTATCATCCAAACACATGAATTTTCCCCATGAGCAGGCCATGGATTCAAAGAAGGTTGTTCCCCATACGTTTAATGGTGCTCCTTGACACCTAATCCACACAAATCTGTCCTTAACAACCATATCTGCTGACCAAGGTCGTACCCATTCGAACCACTGTCCTAACCACTGTGAGGCCATCTCTACCAAGTCCTCTAATTCCCCTTTCTCCCCACAATCTAACAGCACCATCTTTCCCCCCATAGCGCGGATTCGACATGAAAAATAGCCCTCCATGTAGAACTTTTCCTGCAAATTACGGACGATTTCAATCGAATGAGCCAAACCCACATAACAGTGATCTAGCCATGCACTATCCTCTTGCTGCACATTATATTCCAAACCCGCCCACCTTTTACCCACTCCTTTCTCCTGCCACATTTTCTTTTCATCCTTCTTTCTCTCTTCCTGTCTATTTCTGTTTTTGTTCTCCCCATTCTCCTCCAACTGAGTCTCACTATTCTTGCTTCTTAGCTCCTCATTATTTCCATACTGTTGGCCTCGTACTACTTCGGCATAACTTCTCCTCTGCACTACTGGCTCCATGGTTTGACAATTTCTTCTTCCCCTATCAGCTTTCTGCTCATCTTCATACTTTGGGGAGTTCACCCATAATTTTTTCTCCCCCACCCAAATCTGGTCTAGATGCTTCTCAAGCTCCTTTTTATCCTTAACATTCAAGAATCTAACAAATCCAAATCTACACCCATTTCTGCTCTTCCTATTTGGACTGTATATGTCATAGACTCTACCATATTTTCGGAAAGTGTTCCACATGTCTGCACAACTCCATTCCTCTGGAAAATTTGTGAAAAAATATGGAGTGGCCTGTTTATACAATCCCCAGTCATATGACCCATCGTTACTTCTTCTCTGAAGCTGATTCTGAACTAACTGCGCTACCCTCTATGCCTTCGCTTCCTTCCACCTTTGATGGCTTCTTCCCTGAGATCTTGCATGCTCTCTGCCCTGTGTTGTCCCTCTTCCCCGTGTCCGATGATCGCCTCCTCTTTCTCTCTGTCTTCCTCTCTCTCTCTTTGTGTCCCTCATCTTTCTTTCCATAGAGGGTGTTTCTAGATTAAACTTCCTTAAATCCTTCACATCTAAATCCCCTTGGTCTTTATCCCTACAAAACTTGTCCCATCTAACCCAATTTATTTTTTTTCCTCCCTCAACTCCTCCCCATAAAAATCTCCAACGAATTTTATCGAGAAGTAGAATCGTACCTTACGGGATCATGTACACGGACATCCAAAACACGGGTAGACTGGACAGCACTGAGTTAATGAGAGTGATCCTTCCTCCTAGAGATAGGTATCTCCCTTTCCATGTGGACAATTTTTTGGTCACACCCTCTAGCACTGGTTTCCAGAATGAGAGCTTCCCACTTCTCCCCCCAATGGGTATCCCCAAATATTTAAAAGGCAAGCTTCCTTTTTTGCAACACAATACCCATGCCATTTTTTCTAACCACTCTTCCTTGACTCCAATGCTAATGAGCTGACTTTTGTTGAAATTTATCTTTAGCCTCGATACCAGCTCGAATGCCCTCAAAATGCTCTTCATAACCCATACATTTTCATCAGTAGCTGTGCCAAACATCAATGTATCATCTGCATATTGGAGATGAGTGACCTTGAAGCCTTTATTTCCCACTTCAACACCTTCAAGGAAACCTTTCTCCGCTGCCTTCAAAATCAGCCCGTTAATCCCTTCTGCAATAATCAAAAATAATAATGGGGATAGAGGGTCCCCTTGTCAAAGACCTCTGGTCATTGAGAATTGTCTGGAAGGGCTGCCATTGACCAAAACCGACACCATACTTGATCTTAGGCACTCCATTATCCATTTTCTCCATGTATTTGAAAAACCCAACTTTGCAACATGAAATCGAGAAATCTCCAGCTAACTTTGTCAAAGGCTTTCTCAAAATCAATCTTAAATAAAAATGCCTCATTCTTCTTCTTTTTTACTTCATCTATGACCTTGTTTGCTATGACCACCCCATCCATTAATTGCCTACCGCTTAAAAAAGCCATTTGATGTTCACCAATTATTCTAGCCAGCACCTTTTTAAGTCGGTTAGCAAGCAACTTTGCAAGGATTTTGTATATTCCCTCGATCAGTGAAATTGGTTTATACTCTTCAATTTTCTGAGGATTCTCTACTTTTGGCACAAGAACTATGAATGATGTATTTAGACCCTTCACAAGTTTGCCATTCTTTTGAAATTCATGCAGAAATTCAATAACATCCCTTTTGATTGTCTCCCATTCACTCTTGATGAATTTAAAATTAAATCCATCCAGACCCGGTGATTTTGAACTTTCACAGTCCCAAACCGCTGTCTTGATCTCTTCTTCAGAAAAAGGTGCAGTGAGAAAGACATTATCTGCTGGAGAGATTTGTTTGAATTGGAGTCTTTTTACCGCTAGTCTCCTCCACTTCTCCTCCGTGAATGTTTCCTCAAAAAAGGAGGCAATTTCTTCTTTCAGCTTGTTAGCCCCTATAATCTGAACCCCTTTTACATGAATGTTGTTGATTTCATTCCTCTTCCATCTCCCCTTCACACAATTGTAGAAAAATTTCATGTTTGCATCACCCTTCGCTAGCCATGCTTTCTTGGATTTCTGCTGCAGCATACTCTCTTTGTGTCTAATGTTTTCCCACAAAACCAAGAATGCTTGTCTTCTTCTCTCAATCTCTTCCTCAGATAGCTAAATCGTCTCTCCTTTCACATCTAGCTGCGATATCTCTGCCGTAGCCTCTGTTATTCTTCATTCTATTTCTGGGACAAAGTTTCTACTCCACTTCTTCATCGCCTCTTTGGTATTTTTGAGTTTTTCTTTGATCCAAAATCCTGCCCACCCATGAATTCTTTTCCTTCTCCATGTTTTCTTATCACCTCTCGACACCCTTCTTGCTCTAGCCAGACATCGAAGAATCTGAATGGTTTAGCCCCAAGTTTACTTTCTGATGTTTAAGGAGAATTGGGCAATGGTCAGATATAGTTCTGGTTAGACCCCACTGTGTTGCCTCCCCCCACTTATTCAACCACTCTTCAGACATTAGGAACCTGTCAATTCTACTCATCAAGTTGCCACTTGATTGATACCATGTATATTTTCTGCCCATTAATGGTATGTCAATCAGTTCAGATTCCATAATAAAATTATTAAACTCCCTCATCTCAATAGTTACTGCTTTGCTTCCCACTTTCTCCTCTACATTCTTTACCATGTTAAAGTCACCCACAAGACACCATAGCCCTCTTGTCTGCAGAACTAGTTCTTTTAAATCCTCCCATAGACTTCTTTTACCCACTAATTGACACAGAGAGTAAATATTGATGATATTAACACAAACATCCTCTGCTACCCACTTCCCCTGTATCCCAATAAAATTCTCTCCCTCCCAAACTTTTATCATTCTGAGTGCTTTAGAATTCCATATACAAACCGTACCTCCCGACAATCCTGTCGGATCCTTAGCCACCCATTCAAACTCCTCTGACCCCCAAAGCAAACTACAAAATTTTCTATCTATTCCACTCTTCTTAGTCTCCTGAATAGCTAGGAAATCCACCCCTTCTCCAATCACTAAGTCTCTAACAATTCTCTTCTTTCCAGCAACCCCCAATCCTCTAACATTATATGACAATACATTCATTTAACTACAACACTCACCTTCTGATCCTTATTCGGGCCCTTTAAGCTTTCTTTCTCCTTTGTTGTTCTATATCTCCTCTCCATCTCCTCAAGCTTCTTGATGACCGAATCTTCTTCCTCTGCAACTGCCCCTATCTTCTTCACGAACTCCCATATATCATTAGCTATCTGCTTGTTGGGGACTTCCTTGAGCAGTCGGTTGCAATTTTGAATACCGCTATCTTCTACGGATCCGCCTATTATTGAGTTGCTTATGCTTGGAAAGAACACCGGCACTGCTTCTTCCTCCGATTGCCTCGCACCACATCTACCCCTGTTTTTCTTCTTCTGCTTCAGAAATCCCAAAAGAATTGATTTTTGATAAACTGATGTGCACGATTTGCTCCTTTTCTTGCTCCTTTTCTTCCTCTTTTTCTTGTCTTTTTTCTGTGCTGCGCCCGACTCCTCTTCCCTGCCCCCTTCTGAACAACCCCTCTCACTGCTACAGGAGCTTCCATTCTCCAGAACCATCGTGCCTTTTTTTTTTTTTTTCGCTTTTTCCGTTGAGTGCTTCTCTTTAACTCCCTCATCGGGCCTCAATTCAATCCCCATTTGTGGACTATCATTTCTTCTTTCACCGGCCCAATATTCTTTTGACCTTCCTTCACCGACCTAATTCCCATTTGTAGCATCCATTTAATGGATCACTATTGGGTGAGTGCCTAGCACATAGCTTCCCAAACTTGCTGCAGGATTTGAGTTTGAGAAATTCTGCACCTTATTTCCTGATACACATATTCCCAAATCAACTCTCTCCCCTGCGTCATCCTCTTCCATATCCATTTCAAAACTATCTGCAACAACATCAACAAACTCTTCCTCACCTAATCTGCTATGTGAAAGCCTACCCTTCTTTTCTGACCAATCCTCATCATTGCTCTTTCCTTCAAATTCAAATTTTTCTTCTGAGTTTGAAGTGACAGCCAACCTACTTCCTCTCTTCTTGCTCGGAAATGTTTCTCTGCCTGCAATATCCTCGCCTGCTTCACCCCCAATTTCTGCTCCACCGCTATCTTCATCAAAACTTGTTGTATAATCAGAGGCATCCAACCAAGACTCATCAAGCTCTGAGTCGCTATTAAAAGACGGCCTGAAAACATACTTCAGTGAGAAGAGACTATTTGTCAATTCCTCCTCTGAGAACTTCAGCTCATATATAATCCCATTGACTTTAACTTTCCGGTGAACGTAGATTGTATCCATTATTGTTGTTGATAATAGGAATCTTGCTACATCAAACCTTCTCTTTTTGCTTGTGCTATCATCCAAGCATATACATTTCCCCCAAACTAATGCCAGCTCTTCAAAGAATTTTGGGCTCCAAGCATGCAAAGGAGCTCCCTGGCACCTCATCCAAACAAACCTTTCTTTTGCTACCATTGAGGGTGACCATGGTTTTACCTCTGAAAACCAATGACCAAGCCACTCTGAGGCTCCCTCCACTAAGTCCTTAATTTCATCTTTGTTCTCCCCGTCCATAAGGACCAATTTCCCCCCCATAGCTCTTAATCTACATGAGAAGTACCCTTCCATGTAGAACTTCTCTTGTAGATTGGGTACAATCTCCACTGAGTGAGCAATTCCCACATAGCATCCTTGTAGCCACTGAAACTCTTTTTCTTTCACATTAAACTCCAGACCTGGCCACTCCTCTCCTCTGTTTTTCTGCTTCCATACTTGCCTAGTCTTCGACTGCTTCTGACTTGCATGGGCTCTGTTATTTCCTTCATCATACTTCATGGGCCTCGCAAGTATCTTCTCTACTATTTTCTCGAATCCACACCCTCCTTGTCCTCGAACCGCATCAGCGTATGATTTCCCATGGACAATTCCTTTTGATGGGATGATTCTCCTTACTGTCGCCTCATTAACTTTCTCCTCTGGGTATTTGGCAATATTTACCCATAATTTAAGCCCCTCCACCTTTATTTGATCAAGCTGGTTCTCAAGCTCCCTGGTATTCCTTACATTGAGGAACCTGACAAAACCAAACCTCCTTCCGTTCTTTCTTCTTCTTTGAGGACTATGTATATCAAATACCCTTCCAAACTTGCCAAACGTTCTCCACATATCTGAGTAATTCCAGTCCTCCGGCATGTTTGTAAAGAAGAAGGCTGTAGCTTGCTTATACTGTCCTCTGTCATACCCCCACTGCCTGTACTTACTCCAGTTCGCTTCTTTCCGCTATCCTCTGTCATACTCCCACTCTCTGTGCTCATTCCGGTTTCCATTCCAGCTAAGTTGTCTTTTATCCACCCCCTCCCACTGACGACCTCTCTCTTGGGTTCTGATCTTTTCACTACCCAGTGCTGTTCGTCAATGCCGCGCCCTGTGTCCATTGCCTGAATCCCATCCTATCGCTATACCGCTCTCTCTCATTCTCAATTCGGTTATCTTAGTTATTATCTATTCATGAAACATTTAATTATTTCTTACACCAAATCCAAAGAAATACACATTCCTATGGAGTTTTTTTATTAATTTCTTTCAACAACAAATTTTATTATTGGAGAATAAAGGATACTCCTACCTTTACAATCAGAATTACATAAATATTGTATCCTTGTACTATTATTAACTCTACAAAAGGTTACCTCATTTAAGCATATAGATAGAGATAAAAGCATACAACATACTTGCACTAGAAATACCTTACATGCACATAATCATATGTAGGGATTCGACAACTTCATAAGTAAAATTACATTTAATTAATGACCATAATTAATTCAAAATGGGGTTTTGCAAAATTACAACTTGATAAAATGTGAAATGTGTGATGACTGAATTGAAAATTTCCATCATTTGTTCCTATTGTCAAGTCGCTTATATATGCCTCATGGGGTTAATCTCAAATAAGAGAGTGAGAAAAGGGTGGGAACTGAGAAGTGGAATGATTTGCTTCTGTATGGTCATTATGATTAATTAGGAATAACCGTGTGTTATACATATATATTTAAAAGTGATACGATTGTCAGAGTTTAGGAGTATTTTTTATACTCCAAATATTAATAAAAAATAACTTGTATTGTTCAAAACAAATTGATAACCGTAATTTTGATACAAATGTATAATATATTATTTTTTATTTTATCTTGAATGAGTTCTTTTTTGTTTTTATTTGATAGATATTACATTCTTATATTAGTATATGAGAAAAATTGTGGAATAAAAAAATCCCACATCACATAAAAATAAAATGTAAAGCTTATCAACAATCTATATAAGAAAATGCATAAATCTCATATCACTTAAAAACAAAAGATATAACCTACAAATACTTTATATAAAGAAAGAATTAAAATATATTAGTCAAAATTTTAAAGCCAATAAGTGTTGGACTTGGGCTAAATAATTTTATTATTGGCCTTTGAATATTTTATAATAATAATTATTATTATTATTATTATTATTTGAATTAAATATATATTTGAAAATAATAAGAATTAGTTTTATATTAAAAATTGTACTAAAAATTTTTTAAATTTTATTTTAGGTAATTTTTTTAAATTGGGATAAAAATATTAATAACTTAAAATTTTTATCACAAATAAGATTTTGTTTTTTTGTGATGGAATATAGTTATTACAAAAGAAACACTATTTGTGTCTAATTATTTTGTCACAAATAATTTTAATTGTGACGCACATAATTGTTACAAATAAACTAATAATTGTGTCTTTTTTTTTTTTACAAAAATCATAATTTTTTGTTAGGATTGTAAAAGTTACTATTAGTTTTAATGATTTAGTATTTGTAACGGACCCCAACTAAATTTTAAAGGTTGAACCCCTCAATTTGGTCCCTCAACTATTGTACGAACCTCTAATTTGGTCCTTAAATTAAAAAAATTCCTGATTTGGTTCTTACTGTTTACTAATTTAGTCCCAAATTAGTCATTCCATTAAAAAATAGTTGATATATCCATTACTTAACTATAGAAAATCATTGCTTACCAGCCACATATCACGTTAATAATGAGATATGTCATTTGTTTTTGTACGAAAAGATTAATTTGGGGTCAAATTAGTAAACAGTAAGGACCAAATCAAGGATTTTTTTTTAGTTTAGGGACCAAAATTGATGGTTTGTACAATGGTTGAGGGACCAAATTAGGGGTTTAACCAATTTTAAACACAAATGCAATTTGTGACAAAAATATAAGTTTTTGTGACTAAGTTTACTGTCACAAAACACCTGTTTCCTTGTAGTGCATGCTAACCATCATGATCAATGGTAGTTTGGATTTCACATTACTTGAGATAGAACTTATACTTGTGGGTAAGTGAGTTTTGTTTTAATTGTGATTGGACTTGATGAGGATATCAAGCTTTTAAGTTTGGGTGATTATGATGCCTTGAATCCAATACCAAGATGGAGGTGTGATGTGATTCATATATAATTGTTAGGACTTTAAATTTTTAAGGGTTCATGGACCTCGATCCAAAGAGTTGTTAGACTACTGATGATGGATTTTAATTTAAACAAATCCCATAATAATAAAATATGGAAGAGATGCTAGGCATATAAATTGACACACATTAACCCCTTTTGACGCAGTTTTACAACTATGAGGTTTTATGGGCCAAAGTGGATTGTATCACTAATGGGTTTGGTCATTGCATATGGTATTAGAGTTTGGTTATCAACACTTCTAATAAGTCAACACCCATTAGACTATTAGTGTGTTTTAAAATTGCAAGGTCCAATAGGCCAAAATAAATAGTATGATTAGTGGGATGAGTTGTTATATATGAAGAAAAAACTAATAAATGAGGAGTATAATTTTCATGATTTTCCGACAAGACATGTGGAGGTATGCAATTTTCTCCAAACCTTTCCAAGATTTTGTCTCGGTAAAACAACACTCCATAGTGAGTTGAGATGATGGTTTTGTTAGGGAGGAGAAATTTTGAGTCGTTTTAGCAGCCTATTAGTGAAATGTCATTCCTCAATATCAAAAAAAAAAAGAAAAAAAAAAAAAAGAAAAAAGAGGAATATCCCATAAGAAACTATAGATAATACAATTCATGTTATTACTATAATTAGTTTAAAATTAATAAACAGAATCTTATATGTTA